TAGTTGCAGTAACGAGAGAAATGTTATATATTTAGTCATAAATAGGTAACGGTTATATTATATATTTATTTATAGGGTCATCGACATAAGATATAGCGAAACATTTCAATACAATACATTAGTGGATTAGATTATTTACATTCATCTGATGACACGCAACAATTCAAATTGAATTAAATTTAAATTAAATTAAAAATAAAACAAAACATAATGGCGAGGTACATAAACTTTTTACTTTAGACATGAACACAGAGTTACTGTCAAAGTGAATATCAAGTTCAGGCATGGTTTTGACAATATCGTTATACAAGCGACAGGTGATTCCCGACCCAAGTTTGTTCTGCAAGTCGCATTTTTGAATAGATTGCAGGGATACCGCGGCACTCCAGCAGGTACATTATATTTTTAAATGAGTGAAGATAGAATGGTAACCTCGCCTGCGCTATCGGTATACGCTGGCGGAGTACCAGTGAAGGGTGACAGGTGAGAATGAAGGCAGGTCAGTTGGCACATAGTGACCAATTGAACAAGAATTAACCACTATGGTTTCCAGGGAGAACCGCGTGAATGTCGACCTAAAAGAGTGTATTGCTAGTGATGGGGCTGTCAAATCTCATTACTGACAATCCCTTTTCCCTCTGGTACATTATATTACACCAATATTCTCTTGTTATGGAGAGAAACTAGGATAACAGTGGGACCTTACAGGTTATGCATAAAATCATATATTTATTTCTTTTCATTCATCTAAAAAATAATTTAATTACATGAATATCGAATATAATAATATAAATAATTTATATATATAATTTTATGATTGTTTTAATTCAGAATAAAAATCAATATTGTCAGTATCAGTATATAATTTTAAAATCTTACGAGATTATCTTCCTCTCTCCTCTTAGTCTAATTTCATATCAAAATTTTTCTTAATTAATTTATATTTTATGTATACTAATGGCAGTGAAATAAAATAAAATAATTCTAATAGTTTATTGTGACCTAACCTGTGATATGAGGGGGGAAAAGGGATTGTTAGTAATGGAGACTGAGAATCCCATTGCTATCAATATACCCAACTAGGTCGACGTCCTCGCGGTTCCCCCTGGAAACTATCAAGGTTAATTCCTGATGAATCCATCATGACGGGCTAACTGGTCTGTTTTCATTCTCATCTATCACCCTTTACTGGTGCTCCGCCAGCGTATCCCGTTAGCGCAGGCGGGGTTACCATACCACTTTTTTTTATGGGTGATAATGGAATGGTAACCCCACCCGCGTTATTGGTATACACTGTCGAGGCACCAGTGAAGGATGATAGGTAAGGATGAAGCAGGTCAGTTAGCCCATCGTGACGAATTCAACAAGAATTGTTCACGATGGTTTCCAGGGGGAACCACGTGGAGGTCGACCTAATAAGGCATATTGCTAGCAATGGGGCTGTCAAACTCCATTACTGAAAATCCCTTTCCCCCTTACCATACCATTTCCACCCATAAAAAAACCTATGATATGAAGTTTCATAAAATACTCGTAGTAGCCAGTTCAGTAAAATGTATTTTATTTAGGTAGCTGTATATGTTACGCTAATTTGCAATTTATATTAAAATTGATAGAGTTAATTTTCGTGTTGTGTCCATTTGAATTTTGTCGCAATGAAAGATGCAGTTTTTTTTGCGGAATGCAGTATTAATTAATTTAATTTGTTCTGTATTTCTCAATAAAATTTGTACAAATGGCTAGCTTAATACCGTATGGCATTCTCTACTAACTAACTATTATGTAAAAATAGAATACGTTTAAGGACAATAGTGAAGAACGTACATTACACAAAAAATTAAATTTACCTGTATATGTTACCTGTAATAAATTGACATAAATATCATACCATTACCCATTCGTGTTTCAACCGTCAAGCAGTTGTGTTTGCATGGCTGTGTTTCGGTTTGAAGAGTGGGATATGTCATGAATTTACTGGGTACAGAGGAATAACACCTAAGTCCTCAAGAATGGCAACGCTTGGGGGTATCATGGGCGAAACAGTATACTCTGTTATGTCCATGGTACTGCTCATGTCTATAGGCGACGCTTACCACTTTCCATCAGGTGGGCCGTCAGCTTGTTTGCCATTCTAAGTTTTAAAAAAAATACCGAATATTATTATAAATATTTACAAAATACATACATATACATAAATATATTAATACAGTGATAGATATGTTGTGACATATCTATTAAAAGATAACATATTTTTTTATATTTAACAGTCAATTAAAGAATATAATAATTATGTACTATTATTTACTTTAGTATTCAAGTATTAAACTTTTTTTATACAACTCAGAATGGCAAACAAGCTGAGGGCCCACCTGATGGAAAGTGGTAACCGTCGCCTATAGACGTGACCAGTATCATGGACATAACGCAGTATACTATTTCGCCTATGATACCCTCCATGCGTTGCCATTCCTGAGTACTCGGGTGTTATTCCTCTGTGTCCTGTAAATAAACTGTCATATCCCACCCTTCGAATCGAAACACAGTCATGCAAACACAACTGCGTCACGGTAGAAACACGAATGAGACAGAGGTGCCAAACAAACGACTTTTGTACAAAGTCTCCCAAAACTTCTTAAAATAATTGCTATAATAATTAAATTATAAGTACATAAAATAATTATTTAAAGCCTTAGGCAATATAAATTAATATAAAGGTTATCTTATAAAAAAAAACATTTAAAATAAAAGACAAATTACAGTCTTTTTCGTATTGTAGTATGCTTTTCACGAGTCCTTTGTAATGTAGCGTATTTAAATTACCTCTTATCAGACCATTAATTTTTCAACTTAAACATTTTCTGTAGGAATAACTTGAACAATTCCTATTTTTCTTTGTTTATTTTTTATCTAACGCCTTCTGTAAATTTGTAACTATTTATGGAGTTAAAGGTCATCGTTTATAGCAATATCTCGCGGCATCATCTACTTGAATTTGGATAAAAAAATATCCCATATTTAGATTTTTTTTTAATTTTTACCTTCCTTTTATCAGCCCTAGCGTACCCTGAACTGATAAGATATTATTTACTTTTCTTATTTACGAGAGGAATTAATAGGCATCGATGATTTACCGAGTATTTCAAAAATTTCTGATTTTTGTTTAGCTCGACTATGTGAATAAGACAAAATCTAGGATTTTGTACATAAAAATTCATTCATATCGGTTTTCCATTTAAATGTGATTAAGTAATGTACATTCAAAATTAAACTTTAACTCAACAGTTAGATAGATAGATAGATACTCTTTATTGTTTCCTCCAAAAGATTACAGTAGTAAACTTATTATAAATATAAACAATTACAAGAAATAATTATAATATTTCATATTATTTTCAACCGACTTCAAAAAGGGGGAAAGGGATTGTTAGTAATGGGGTGTAATGGCCCCATTGCTAGCAATGTACCCTATCAGGTCGACCTCCACGCGGTTCCCCCTGGAAAACATTAAGATTAAGTCTTGCTGTACTCGTCACAATAGACTAACTGACCTGCTGTCATTCTCACCTATCATCCCTCAGTGGTGCCCCGCCAGTATATACCGATAGCGAAGGAAGGGTTACTATTCCATTTTCACCCATAAAAAAACCGACTTCAAAAAGAAGGAAGTTCTCAATTCGGTTGCTTCTCATTAATATTTACTGTATTTGTTATCTCTCTTTCTACTTGGTGCAATAAAGTGTATATAAATAAATAAATATCAATTATGAACCGTTTTGGAATATTTTTTATGTGAAAGGATGTACTTATAGATTGTTTTATAGACATTTTATCAACATCGGTTCTATAGTTTAGTTTTTGAATCAAAATAACTTTGTCACAACTGAAGTCGTTTTATTTTACGTAAAACACAACCTTAAATAATATACGATTACTAGGCAGTATCTTCCGCAAAACACATCTACTTAACTATACAAAAATATTTCATATCACACAATGCCATTAGCGAAATTGCTTAGTATATAATAAAAAGTAATGCTTCCAGTCTATTGTAATAATATAATGCCATAAATAAAATTTGACTGTCGCTAACATCATAGTAACTTCATTGAATCATTCACTAATGGATATGATACCCTATTCTCTAGGGAATACGTAAAATACTGTAATACAAATAGAAAAATATATTTAAGTACTCATAATTAGTATTTCTTTTTGTACAACTTAGAATGGCAAACAAGCTGACGGCCCACCTGATGGAAAGTGGTAACCGTCGCCTATAGACAAAAGCAGTACCATGGACATAACAGAGTATACTGTTTCGACCATGATACCCCCCATGCGTTGCCATTCCTGAGGACTCAGGTGTTATTCCTCTGTACCCAGTAAATTCACGTCATATCCCACCCTTCAAACCGAAACACAGCCATGCAAACACAACTGCTTCACGGTTGAAACACGAATAGGACAGAGGTACCCAAGCAATCGACTTTTGTACAAAATCTCCCTCTGGTAGATATTGATTCTATTGTTGATATTGTAATTTCGTGTAGTCTATGTAATTGGGTAAAATCAGTATCACCCCGATATCTATAGATACTCTCTATTGTTTCTTTCAAAAGAAATTGTAGATACAAACAATTATACTAAATGATGACAGTGAAAAAACAATAGGCGGCCTTATCGCTCGAGCTAAAAGCGATTTCTTCCAGGCGACCTCTGGCTGGAGAGGAGTAGTTATGAACAGTTTGATTGGAGGTTTTTTTTATACAACTTAAAATGGCAAACCCCCCATGCGTTGCCATTCCTGAGGACTCAGGTGTTATTCCTCTGTACCCAGTAAATTCACGCCATATCCCACCCTTCAAACCGAAACACAGCCATGCAAACACAACTGCTTTACGGTTGAAATACGAATGGGACAGAGGTACCCAAGCAATCGCCTTTTTTTTTGAGTTTAGACTAGGATCGATCTTTTCACTGATCAGAGCGTTTTTTTTCAGATAAATTCCGATGTGACGGGAGGGCTCACCGTGAGCGATGTAAGCCGATAGCCAAGTGCTGCCAACATGTGCTCCTGGGTCGTGACAGCCCTCATCATCCTCTATGCTATGGGTGAGTTGCTGTATAAGATTATACTCTTTTTTAATGGAACAAAGGAAACCAAGTTTTATTGAAATAATTATTAAAATACTAATTACATAAAATTAGTAATAAACCTAAATATTCAACCAATTAGTTGACTTTTGATATGTGCTATTAATAAATAGGTACGATATCTTAGCTTAAAGAAAAGAACATATTCCTTTTTAAAAGACTGGCAGCACACCTGCAATGACGTTGATGTTGTGGGTGATCATGGGCGGCGGTAGTCATTTACCATTAGATGAGCCGCACGCTCGTTTGCCCCCTGCAAAAAAAATAGTAGACTATCTTATAGTCGACTTTATTACTCATTTGATTAAATTTTCATTAATTTATATTAAAAACAAACTATATGGAGATAATTACAAGTCAAGTTTTTTCATTTTCACCTAGAATGAAATAAGCGCAAAACAAGCTGGTCACTACTCGAGCAAAAAACTACTATGGCGAGCGAACGAGCGCCTACCTCATACCGCGATTAGTAAATTCTCTACTTACCGACTTTCAAAACACTAACTACTAACATATCACTGTTAAAAACATAAACTTTAAACTAAAAGCGTATTAACTGTCCAACCTTGCTAAAACAGCAGAATATTAATGTAAATATTGACATTTGAGAACGAAATGTAAAGTATCACACACAAGCCCAAGAGGTTTAAGTGGTACTAAAAAATATAGTTTTTTTTTGAGTATTTGCATGCTAATTAAAAATAATAATGTCGCGAAAAAAATATAATAGTAGATCTGTACATTTTCCGTAACATTTCCTACCAATAACCGGAAAAATATTAAACGAATTATTCGTAGTGGCTTTTCTGTACAAATTAGACTTCGAAACATTCAGAAGCAGAGCGTATAACTTTTTAAAATCGATAACTCTACAATCGGTATCGGCAATATATTTGGCATAATTCATTTTTTATTTATATAACATAGGAGCAAACGAACATGCGGTTTAACTGATAGTAAATGATTACTGTCGCCTATTAAAATCGGTAACTCTACCGATTGTAGAGTTACTGACTTAAAAAGTTATCGTATCGGCAATTTATTTAGCATAATTCATATTTTTATATAAGATAAGGGCAAACGAACATGTGGCTTACCTGATAGTAAATAATTACTGTCGCCTATAGGCACTTTATGTTGCATTAGAAAAAATATAGATTAATTAAATAAATAAATGAATATGTTCTTTTATTGAAGGTTTAAATGTCGTATCTGTTTGGAAATACTGCTGCTGGGTATTGATTCCATACTTTTACCTTCATCATCATGTCAGCCGTCAACTATTCACTGATGAACATATCCTCTATATAGCTTTACCAGTGGTATACCGCTGGTAAAGCAGTATATTTTTTCCAGTAGTTGCCACACATAGCAGGTGGGTTGGCAACCGCAGTAAGGCTTTGGTATACTTTTATCTTGCCATTAGTTATATCGGCAACACCGTAATGATATTAACCGGATATAAGAGACATTTTTTTACAGAAGAATTCCGAAAATAGGTAACAAAATATTAACCTAAAGTCGAACATAAAAGTTATTCTTGTTATTATTTAGAGAAATTATTTAAAATAAAGATTTCCTTTATTAATCCTCATAATTTATGTACGAATTTATTTATATATAAAAAATATAGAATGAAGCTAAAATACATACATATATAATTTAATAACAATTGTGAATATATAATTTTATTTTGTTCTTTACATTAAGCCAAGCTAAATTTTAGACAAACTAAAATGGAACAAAAAAAAACAGGTTATTAAAGAGATATTACTTTTTTGTCAAAGCAATGTATTTTTGATATATTTCAAAGAAAAAAAAATATTAAGTATCCATTTTTTATGAATAAATAAATTTATTATTTACATTTCTAAATTTATTATTTATTTTCTTCAAGGTTATTAAAGAGATATTACTTTTTTGTCAAAGCAATGTATTTTTGATATATTTCAAAGAAAAAAAAAATATTAAGTATCCATTTTTTATGAATAAATAAATTTATTATTTACATTTCTAAATTTATTATTTATTTTCTTCAAGGTTATTAAAGAGATATTACTTTTTTGTCAAAGCAATGTATTTTTGATATATTTCAAAGAAAAAAAAATATTAAGTATCCATTTTTTATGAATAAATAAATTTATTATTTACATTTCTAAATTTATTATTTATTTTCTTCAAGGTTATTAAAGAGATATTACTTTTTTGTCAAAGCAATGTATTTTTGATATATTTCAAAGAAAAAAAAAATATTAAGTATCCATTTTTTATGAATAAATAAATTTATTATTTACATTTCTAAATTTATTACTTATTTTCTTCAAGGTTATTAAAGAGATATTACTTTTTTGTCAAAGCAATGTATTTTTGATATATTTCAAAGAAAAAAAAAATATTAAGTATCCATTTTTTATGAATAAATAAATTTATTATTTACATTTCCGATTCTTTATAAAATAAGTTGTAAAGAAATGATAATAAAATTTCAATGAGCTCGCCTTTCAATAGGTAACGTACAGTTATTTTTCAATAAAAAAAATATATAAGGAATGTTTGCTATAAATTCAATTCAATACAAACAACGATTTGAGAATTATTTTCACATTGCTATTATAAATACTGACAATATTTATTATACAGACATGGGGTCTTTATAAAGAGTTCATAAGTTCGGCAACACGCACGCAATACCCCTGATGTTGCAAACTTTTACAGTAGTCTGTTAGCCATTTTGTGGACGATATACTTACTTCATATATAATAAAATTAGTAAAATTTACAATCTAAAGAACTGTACCCTAAAAGAAACAAAATCAAAAGTAAGCGAACATCTGAAATCTATGAATTATGACGACACACACACACACACACACACACACACACCACATACACCACACACACACGCATGCACACACACACATTCATAATACTTATTCATATATGTGTATTGGTGGTGAGATCTAAATGAAATAATTGCATTATACAAATTAGTTACACAATTGTCAGTACTGCTAAAAAGCCTATGTTTAATATCTATATGCATGTATATGATAACGCGAGTACTGCTTCCTACAGGACAGGCTCGGCCTAGTGTAGGAAGCAATGATAAATTCTGTGCTAATACAAACATACTTTGTTAAATAAATATATCTTATCTATCTATCTTATCTATCTATCTTATCTTACTTCCTTACCACCATTGCAGTTAAAAAAAAACACTTATCTTATGGAGAATAAGATTAAAAGTTATATATAAGAAAATACAGTTAAAAGTTATCTGTTTCTAATCCCGATCAAAATTATCACTGCCGCCAATCCGCAAAAGTTCAAAATACTCCAGAAATTAATCAATCTGTTAGAGAGAGGCGCGTCCCCGCAGGCACTGTTCAACTTTACTTATTATACAGCGGGTAATAATATTCCTTCAGACGGTACTAAAAGAGCTCAGTTAAAATCACATTCAATTTGACGCGCGTGACACCCCCGTGGCCCACTCCGGTCCTGAATCATAAAGGATTTAACTCTTTCCGCATTTCCATCCTTTTTTGTCTCGGAAGAAAAAATATTAACTGAAATACGTTGCTCTCTATCTTGCATTTATTTACTTTTTCATGTAGATTTTTTTTTTATTTTGTTCGATTTTATATTTTTAATAAACAAAATGAAAGAACATCGATTGGATAAAACAATCTCCCTTATATTATAAAATATTTTTTTGTTGCATTCATTGTTTTCAAATATAAATGTTAAACTCGAAAAATTTTAGTCAACTTTGAAGCATTAATCTCTGCTTTAACATTTTACTGAATTGTATGTTATTTTGCGAATGTCCGTATCACTGGTTAGTTGATAAGTCAAACCAAATCATTGTAATCATTATCGTAAACAAAACAAAACGTAACAAAAAATTCAATTCGATTTTACAGCCAAATAATTATTCTAAGAACCAATATAATTAATAGTCTTTAAAAGAACTTACTTTAATTTTAGTACATAATGATATAATACAATAATTATTCTAAAATCTTAATTACACTTTTAGAAATAGATACCTTGACATTTCACATAACATTTATTTGACTCCATTGTGATTAATGTTTTTTTATTTATTTATTTATTCATTAGTACAATTATGTGTACATGGCGGACTTAATGCTAAAAGCATTCTCTCCCAGTCAACCATAGGGAAATGTCAGAATACACGAATGCGGTACTACTAATTATTGATATACATACATACTAAAATTACATATATAAACGAATAAATATATATGAATAACAAATATGATACTTACACATATATGACATATACTATATTATACACGAAATTAAGAATAATATAAAGCACTTACTGCTTGTTGTTTGTTACCTCATAATTTCGTCAATTTTAAATTTATTTGGAAAATTCTTTTTTAACCAAATATATATATATATATATATATATATATATATATATATATATATATATATATATATATATATATATATATATATATATATATATATATATATATATATATATATATATATATATATATATATATATATATATATATATATATATATATATATATATATATATATATATATATATATATATATGATTCTGAACCATTCTTTTATCAATAAAATTCAGCTCTACTCGCTAATAATGCAGTTATAGGTGAAAGAATTTTTGAAATCCGCATTTTTTTATCCATTACAAAAAAAAAGTTACCGTGTGTGCACCGACATAGAATGGGCCACCCCTTTCCTTTCCATGAGTGTCGCGACTAAGGGAGGGCGAGGGATGGGCAGCAGTGTCCCTCTTAAAACATCTCTAAAAGTCTAACTGCGGTTGCTAATCCGCCTGCCAGGCGTGGCAACTACTAGCAAAACTTCCCTTATGGGGTAGACTTATTCCGCAGTAGACAGCTAACAGTTGAAATAACAATAATAAAAAGAAAAAGTCAATACAC